GAAAGTTTTTGTTATACAGTTGGATAAACTTAATTGTTATTTAATAATTTTTTATCTTTGTATTTCATTGTGCCTAATTTTTAGTTCTTCTGGAAATTCTGAAAATTAATATTTCTCAAAATGTAATGTTGTTTATTCTAGTGTTGGAACTGAAAGATAATATTTGATAAAAATATTAGTGTTTGTGATGGTATAAAATTATGGTACATTATGTGATATAATTGTGGTATAAAGTTAGTGTTCAGACTATCAATTTAGCAAGAGGATTATACCGTATTTTAATTCAACAATACACATCAATATATATCATTTTATATACGAATCTGTTGAAATTTTCATAAATCTTTTTTTATCCAAAAGATAATTTTGTACCACAATCAAAATCAACGTTTTGACAATAATACCTTTCAGTTACTGCATTATAAGAAACTACACCATATTTGTATGAAATATATGTACTAAAAATCTTTTTTATATCCAAAAAGTAATTTTATACCACAATCAAAGTCAATGTTTTGACAATAATACCTTTCAGTTACTACACTATAAGAAACTTCACCATATTTGTATCAAGTATGTACTAAAAATTTTCTTACCCATAGAGGTTATTCACAAATATTGCAATTCCTAATAATCAATTTCATAATACCATTGAATTTAAAAATTTAATTAATTTCATTAAAAAATAAATTCACATTTTGATGACTAGTTATTTATAATCTGGTTTCAAATACTATTTATTATTCATATAAGGACGCTTTAATTGGTATATAATTTTGTCTACTAAATGTTATCATGTACGTCTACAGATTAATTTAAATTCAAATATATCACCATTATTAGTACCACAAGAGTCACAACTATTTGTACTACATCAACCACAAAAAATATTTACTAGTCTAATTACAAATGTAGACTAATGCAGATACCAATTAATAGTTTACACCACAAAAATCTGCAGATCAATTTAAAATCCAACCATATATACAATTTCCATTACCACAACAGCAATTGTTTGAACATTTTATAGCATTCACGAATAAATTTATAATGTAAAATACCATTAAATAATGATTCTACAAAACAGATTAATAAATTAAAACAACATAACACTGCGATGTCAATTTTGTGGTGGAAATTTGATACAAGATTTCTTGTTGTGACCCCATGTAGGGGAAGAAGAAATGGGGAGGAAATTACAAGGCGGGAAATCGAATTTTCACCAACAAGGTGATAGTTAAGGTAGTTAACTAAGTTACTAAGATTCCCCCCCTTAGTTAACCTATTATAATTGGTGTTCGCGTCATAAATGATTCCTTCAATCTTGAAATCTACATACCTTCCTGCGATACATTTCAAAATAGAGTTAAGAATAACGATATAAACCACAAACACATCTACCAAAAGATAATATAAATTAACTATACTATATAAAATACACCAACATATAATGGTGTTTTAAATTTAATTCAGCATAAAAGTTCAGTTTGAATAATGATATACAATATGATTTGTTTAGGTAAAATTCCTAATTGTATTGGTATACAAGATGCTTTTACCTCTTAAAGTTAGTACGTATGGTTGTTATCTTGGTATGAATAAACCAACACAAATTGATCACTAATTAAACCAAATTTTCGTATCTACTTTATACTTTCAAGGTATGTACCTTAATTCAATCAAAAATCACATTCATCATAAACTACTAAATTATTTACAATCAACGACATATACTACAAATACATACACATACACCAAACAAATTTTATAGTATGTTTTAAAGCATATTTTTGCTGACTAGATAATTTTTAACTTAAATATGATGTTTACAGCACCATCATGTACCAACATATGAGCACTATTTTCACCATTATCATGTAAAACAATAAAACCAACGCTGAATGACACCAAAAAATCAGCATGTTCACCAAATAAATTAAAACGATTAATTTCATCAAATAAAATCAACTCCAAATGCAGTCCAGCATTTTGATAATTAAAAACGATTAAATTCACCAAATAAATTACCAAACCAGATAATCACTAACTATTCAATAAATATGCACCAAAACTAATGAATTAATAAAATAAAATAAAAATCGGAATGGGTGAATATCAACAACAACCCATATTACATCATTAATTAAACAACTCATGATAGACAAAAATTATTTTTTTAAAAGTGATTTTTAACGTAAATACGGTGTTTAAACAATTATTATGTACCAAAATTTAATCAATACGTTCACCATAATCATGAACAATAAAACCTATACCGAATGACACAAAAAAAAATCAATAGTATACTGAACGTGCCGTCCATAATTTTGATAATTAAAAAAGATTACTTTCACCAAATCAATTACCAAAAAAGACAATCACTAAATATTATTTCTCTTTTGAATCTCAAAACCATAGAAAAAATTAATAAAAATAAATAAAATCCAAATCACGAAATCGATGAGTAACAACAACAATGACCATGTTTTTCAATTACACGATTAAAAAAAACACCATTTATATATTGAAAGTATAATTAACACCTGATGCATCCCAACGTCCTTTATGTTGAATTAGGATTGAATAATTGTTGGTATCCATGATTGAACATTCAATCAGAATGAATGGAAAGAGAGTTTTATATTTGTTAAGAAACCTTTTATTGGTAGGAGAGAATATTTATAACCACTTTGAGTAAATTATGGGATTTGGGAAAAATAGGGAATACCATAAATCGTGGAGCATGAATTCACGTTTTTTTTTTTTTTTAAGTTAAACATAACTTTGAACTATTGTTATATAGGTGAAAAAAAAAACTATTGTCATATAGTGGTAATTAAGATACTTTATTTGTATACTTGAGTTTTTTCCCCATATATATTATACATGTATCTATTGTACAAATTTTCATATTTATTTTTCAAATTATGAGAATTGTTGAAAAGAATATCTAGATTGTTAAATCATGGGGATTCATCTACTTTGTAAGGTTTATTCCCGATGACAGTTAATATGAGTCGCGGTTGTTGAAGATTCACTTTCGCTAAGAAGAAACTCATAAGTCTCTTAAACTAGTATTTGTGGTTCAAATATTAAAATAGTATCAGAGTCAGGCCCATGACTGAAGTAGGCTCCTAAACCATACACAAATGATGATATACTACAATCCATGATTGTACACGCTTCCGTCCAAATAGTGTCCGAGCATGAAAGAGAGTGATGCAACAAAAATATCCAACATCGATCGAAATTAGATTTCTAGACTTCTTATATGACTTAGGTAATTCACCTTTCTTCGAGCTAATTTTTTGAATATAAATTAGGTCCAAAGTCTATATTTTTATATATATTATATATATAAGGTTGAAGAGCTAATAATTCACCAATAGTAGCACCAAAACCACCCACCCTGAGAAAACACATTTTGAATATTTCAACTTTCACATACAAAGTTGACTGTTATTGTTTCTTACTCCCTCTGTCCTTATGTGACATTTTTGTTTTTCGAGAGTCAAAACGGTTTAAGTTTGATTAGAAATTTACACATGAAAATTTTAATTTATTTGAAATGAAATTTATATATATTTGTAGGCTACGTAAAAAGTATTGTAAGTCACAGTCATTGATAATTCAAAATGTTTAAAAGATCTATGAAAAACTTACGGTCAAAGATAAATTTGTTTGAAGCTCAAAATTCGAAAAGTACCAGATAAAATGTAACGGAGGGAATATTAAAAGAAAATTCATAAAAAATTCTGAAACATTAGTTAAACAAACTAAGACTTCTTCCTGACAATGATATGACAATATTGAAAATAGTTTGATTCTGAAAGTACTTACTTCTAATTAGATAAGTCAAAAGATTATTTGAATGTGTAGACAGTTGAAAACTCAGATTTGAATATGTATTCTATGTAATATACTTTTCTTCTATTGATGATTTTAGTAATATTTTACTTTGAACCAAGTATCTATTGGAAATCACGATGGTCTCAGATGTAAAATCAAATTTCATAAAGAGATTTTTTTATTTTCTAGTTGACATATATAAATTGAATAACAAGAATTTACTTGGTGTAATTTCACAAGTGAAGTCTAGAGAGACTAGAGTCAACGTAGATTTTATGAAGTAAAATTTATTTATTTTTTAAATTCAATGAAAAATATATAAGAGTTGAAAGGTGTGGCCGGTTGGGAGAGTTCAGAAAATTCAATAATAGAAGAAATGAAATTAGTGAAAGAATGAAGTGTTAGTCGGTCAAGAACTTGCATGTTCAAAAAATGTATGTTGTAGAGATAAGGATGTTGAGATGAATGTATGGTCATAATAGGAGTGACAAGATTAGGAATGAGATTACTCAGAAAAAGGTGGGAATAATCTGTGTGGCGATAAGATTAGGAAAGTCAGACTAAAATAGTTTGGGCATGTGCAAAGAAGGTACGCCAACACCCCAGTGAGGAGGTGCGAGAAGTTGAATGTAGGAGGACATAACTTTAAATAGGGAGAGTTGTCTTATACTTATCGTACCCTTATAATTCTTGTTATATGTTGTTTATTGCATCTCAGTTATCAAATTATTTTATTATTGTCACTATTTTTTCTTACAAACTTTATATTATTTTTCCTTTGATACTATAAAATAGTGTGTACACTCTATTATTCTCAAATCATTCAACTTTATGAAATTCCACTAAATATGAATATGTTGTATTATTCTTCTCAAACTTTATCTTAACATTGCATGGAATATATTATTATCATTAAGTGATTTTAAAATAATATGTTTTAGAAACAAACATCACGCAAGTTGAATTGAAATTCCAACCCCACTAATTGCCCAACCTTTTTGACTTTTTCTCAATTATAAAAAAAAAATATTATTCCTTCAACACTAAAGAATAAATTATAGTAATTCTTCCAAAAAGACAAAATCATGACGAATCTCAATAATTAAATTAAATTACAATAAAGATAAGGAATATTCTTCTATTTTTCAAGTAAAGTAAAAGTATAGTCAAACTTGAAAATTTCTAAACCATCTCGATTGTCGTATTAAATAAAAAGTAGTCAAAATTTCCCAAATTTACATACACACCCCTCAACTCCCACCAAACTATTGACTTTTCTAATCTTTAAGTCTTCTCAAATGTCAGTTCCACCCCTCCACTATCTCGAAATTACAAAAAAAGCCCCTAAATCTCTAACCCTAATCGTTCTCCATTTTTCTGTCCTGTTAACTCAAAAGCCATCATTCTTTCGCCGGAACTTCCAGCTCCAGCGCCGGCGCTGGGGACGTTGCCGGAAATCGTGGTTTGAACATGACGATGTTCTCCGCCGTAAGTCACAATAAGCATTCCTGGATCGTCGGTGGCTCTCTCTACGTGCTTTCTCGCCGGACATCCTCTTACACTACTACATCGGTAATATCCCCTGAAAATTGAAAAAAAAATAAAGTTTAGTTTCAGATCTGGAATTTTCATTCGTAAAAAACTGAACCGTGATGATTGATCATGGTGTTTGTGTAATTACCTTGGGTATGGTGAACCTTTGATCGGCTTTTGACCGTACTTTCTCCATGAGTATTCATCTGCCGGAATATCAGCGGTTTTTGAACTGATCGCCGGAACTCTGATCACTTTTTTTACTCGAGATTTCCTGTTAGAAATAAATAAAAACAGGTTAGAAAGTCTGAATTAACATCGGAGAGGCTAAAATGTGTTAGAGATTATGAAGAGACTACCAACCTCTTTTTGCAGTGACACTTGCCGGAGCTGGAGGTTCTACCGGAAAATTCATCAGACAGATCATGATCGCGACATCTTTTCCCGGCGATTGGCGGCTTCCCGGAGGAAACAGGCGGACGAGGAGGTAAGTTCATAGACGAAAACACTTTCCCGTTTGATACACTTCCTTCACCTGTAATCGTCGACATAAACGACGACGATGTCGTCGAACTCGCCACCGGAACAGCTTCACATCCAATAGATTTACCAACTTTCCGTTTCGTAAAATCTAGAGTCAACTCCTTCGATTGATACTTCTCAACCGGAACATTCACCGGCGCTTTCACCGCCGGTACTGTTTCCTCCGCCGGCGTTGTCAACGGAGATAGAGTAAGAGCCGTACATGAATCATCAGTAACCTGAACCGGACTACGTCTAAACCGGGCATGACCGGTCCGGTTCAAAATAGAAATAACCTTCCTAAAATTGTTAACAGTATAATCAGTTATCTCTCTACAATCCGGCTGAACCGTTTGGTTTTGCTGTTGTTGAAATGAAACGAACCGGATTAAATTATCCATTGATTTTAAACCGGCTGAAGCAGCTTCTTGTAAAGCTAACTGTTCTTTCATATTTGTATAATTTAATAACTCTACAGCCATTTTTGTTGTTGTTTGATTTGCAGAGATGATGAGAAGAAGATGAAGAAGAAGCTGAAGAAGTAGAAGGTTATATATAGGTAGAAAAGGATGACCGGTTGACCAGGTAAGAGTCAAATCTTTTGATCTAACGGCTGAGATTTATTTAAAAATATTTCTATTTTATTAAAGAAAAGACAAAATAGTAGCATGCTAGTTGACAGCTTCCATTAGCTTTATTCCAAGGGGAAAATGGTGGGATCCAATGTATAATAAAAAAATAAAAAAAATTGTCCTACATTTTATATGAAGCATATTATATCATAATATATTATTTTTATACTCTTTTCGTTTCATTTTATATGAATTACTAAGAAAGATATGTGACACATTAATGTTTGTCGAGGTTCATTGCTTCAAATTAATTAGATCCATTCCTAAAAAAATTAATGTTAATCAAGGTTCATCTTCTTGAATTAACAAGGTTTGTTTTCTATAATTAAAGTAAGTCAAAAATTTATTCCTGTAGATCAAAGATTTTACTATGTAGACTTGTTATTCACTTATTCTTATACAATCTATTGTTTCTTAGTGGTATGAGCCATTTTCATAACGAGTCACTTTTGTAACGAGAAACTTATAAACTCTAAATAACAAAGTTGAGAGGTATATCAAATCATTTTCCCTACTTGAATTACTTTTTCTATGAATATTTATGAACTTTTCTTTCCTTTGAACTGAAAATCTATCGAAAATAACTTTTTTTTAAGTCTCCCTCCACCACCTGCACACTTCACCACCCACTACCATCCATAGAAATTATGCTTCTTACTTTTCCTAGTTGACTTTAAAATGATAGTAGCACATAAAAGAATTAACAATAATAAAAGGAAGCCCACTTGAAATGTCAAATTGATACTTATATTATAAAAATATAAATATCAGGATAAAAAAATAGAGAATAAAATCTTTAAATGATTTGACTTTTTATATCACCCAAATTAACAAATAGATTCCCAAAGCTAACATTTACTTAAATAAGAAATAAAAAAATAAAATTAAAGCAAAAGAAAGCTGACTTTTCTTCTTGGTGGAAATCACATGGGAAGCACAGATCCTTTTTTCTTAGTTGACCAACTTTTATCAACCGGCTATAGCCGGTAAACTATTTTCCTTTAATCTTAATCGTTAAATTATATCAAAAGTGATCAGACGGTTAGATTTGATTTTTAGGAGTTGACGTAGACTTTTATTGAAAATCTAAAAATGTCAACTTCAAAAACGTATAAAAACTTGACACGTGAAAGGCATAAACTTAATGCGCCTTTGAAGGAAAAAAGAAGAAAGAGAAATTGGTTTATGGTGAAGGAAAAGTAGTCAAATGAAAGATAGAGTTGACTTGACCAAGTGGGAGGTTGATATCGGATATCAGTATTGAGGTTCTGATTAATTCAAATTCGTTTTGTATAAGATTGAATTAAGGTGAAAAGTTTTTATTGTCAAATTTGTTTTCATAACTAAGATTCAAACTTCGAATCTTTGGTTATAGGTGAATGAATTTTATCTAATTTTACTATAATATTTGATTGAACTTTTTTACTCCTTCGGTTCATTTTTATTTCTCATGTTTTGTTTCACGTGGGTCAATATTAGTTTTTGGAGCTAAAAATGTGATTCCTTTTGTCATAATTTATGTCTTTTTTTGAATTTTAAGATTTAAATGAGTCTATTTTTTATAGTAAAATTTTCATATATTTTTTAAATATTTTGATATGAATTATAGTATTTTTTTACGTAGTTTACAAAATATATAAATTTTATTTAATTTTTTTAAATAATTTCATGTGTAAATTTTCGATCAAATTTAAATTGTTCAACTTTCAGAAAATGAAAAGTGTCGCATAAGGGATAGAGGGAGTACAACAGTGTAAGTTGCAAATTTTTTTATATTAATATGATGAAAAAATATATTATAAAATATTAATAAAAATTCTAAATGATTTGACTTTCGAGAAACGAGTATGGTCCATCTAGTATGTTATTAGTCAAACGAACCAATTTAACACGCCAAATGAAGTTTGTTGTACCATGCAAAATTTCTCCGTGTTTTATGATTGTTTTTGTCTACTTTTTTCCCAACTCTTGGGGTCATTTTCTTTGTAATACAAACAATTTATTGTGTGTGTTAAATTATCTAAAAATCGTTTTAGCTCGAGAAATATTTTGAATACATTGAAAAATGTTTTTTTTTTTTCTTTATATTCGATGGATAAATAAAAAATATTATGCTAAACATATTTGTATATAAATTAAATAAATACTATGAGAGACAGAGGTGTGGGATGATGAAGATGAAGTGTGTTATAGGGTGATGATGATATTATTAATGCAGAATGTCATAAGTAGAAGAAATCGTTTCCCCTACTTTCTCTAAGGAACTCATTTTTAAGGAATTTGTTTTCTTAGATAGTTTCTTTTTCAAAATTACTTGATCAATTGAACATGTGTATGGGGACGGTATCATGATTCCGTAAGGGAATTCATTCAAACTCTCTTAATCTGAAAATAATATTCTATATATATAAGGTCAAAATTATTTTTTATGTATATATAATAAGTATTGATGCTCCTTAACTTTTTTGTGTGTATACCTTTTTATATTTTGAATTTGTCAAAGTGAAAATCTGGATCCGACCATTTATAAGTATTGATTGCTTAAATTTGTTGTGCATTACATTTTTTTTTTGGCGTTCGTTCATGATTAATCACTTTTTAAAGTCTAAAAATGTTTAAAAAATTCTTGTCAAAGTCCTATAAATATTATGTACTTCAATACATGTTCTAGTCCTATACATAACATTTTAACAAAAATACAAAAACTAATCAAATCGTATGAATATAAAAAAAGAAACATAGATGATATGACGATTTTAAAAAGTCTAATTTTACTTATGCCAAATAAAATAAGAGTAAAATATAAATATAACCTAAATTTTACATTAGCTAGTTTCTAATGTAGTGTGCTCAATGTAAATTTTACTCATAATGTATTGAAGAAGACTTCTCGAAGTTCAAAGGAGATACTTTATTGTTTTAATTTGTTCAAAAGGAGTGAATCTTTTGCTTTTAATAATTCATTAATTTAGTTGTGCATCCAAACTAATACTTGGGAGCAAGTTTTATAGTCTCTTTGACCAAATTCATTTTTAGAAGGCCAAAAATGCCCATTCAAAACTATTAGACCTACATTCATATACTATATATATACAATATATCTAGAACAAATTACATCTAATTTTTCACCTCTTGTATACCGAGATACATGTATCTCGAAGTATCTATATTCTAGATGCAGCAAAATCTGGTAAGATTAGTAACAATACAAATTAGAGTGTATCTAAGTTCTAAGCTCCTAAACTAGTGAAATTTCTTCAAGTTTCCGTTAAAAATACCCTTCAATTAGCTAAATAATTTAAAAATACATTTCTTACTAACGTTTACTCCAAAACAAGATAAATGCTCCAATTTTGACCATGAACTATTGGGAAATGGGACAATTTTATATTGTACAAATGGTATAAAAAAATTTCTTTTTAATTTGTTTTTCTGATTTTAACTTGATATAAAGTTTTTTTTTTTAAAAAAAAACTTTTGAATCTTGTGGTTTTAAACTAAAGATATGTTAAACGTAGCAAAATGTCTTTTAATTTTGTAGTCTTAAACATGTCATGTGAAAAGTTAGAATTAAAGAGTTTTTAAGAAAGGAAAGAAACATTCATTTTAAAATAGATCAAAAAGAAAAAATAAGACAAATAAATTAAAACAAAGAGAATACTATTTTTATATCAGAATACAAAATTTATATTTGTATATTATATAGTATATATACCATGAATACTGCTAATACTTGTATGTTAAATAATACTCACAGAATATCACTGATATTGTATACTAGTGAAGAGCTGGATCCAACATATCTATAATTTATCTTGCATCAAGTAACATTAGTGCCTAATTCTGATGATCTAATCCAGAATCATTTGTTCATCTTAATTAATTCATAAATTTGAAATTTAAATTAACAGACTTTTAGTTAATTATATTCAAAAGTTCATTAAAAGTGAGATGACAAATAAAGATTCAATCATCTAGCAAATAAGTTAGGAATGACTCATTGACCATGACAATTTGTTTGTTACTTTCCACAAGAAATGAATTAATAAAATAATAGAAAGAGGAGAAAATAAAAGGAGAGTCAAGTCAAACTTTGCTACTTTAATTAGAAAAAGAAATTGCAAAATACAAATCAACTTCTTAATTATTTTTTATGACTCTTACATTTAACCAACTTGGAAACAAATTCTTCAATATTTTTATCTGAACTTCCTCCTTCATCCACAGCATTTCTAGCCATTTCCTTCCATTTATTTGCATTTTCCCTAATTAATTTTCCTTTCTCTTCTTCCATCACTAATTTTATACATTCTTCAATAACTTCTCTTCTAACTATCCCTTTTTCATCTTGTTTGGCTCTAACACCTATTTCCCAAACATCCTTCACAAATTTTGCATTTGTTGGTTGATCTGTCCATTGTGGCATTGCCACCATTGGCACTCCCAAACTAATTGCTTCCAAAATCGAATTCCACCCACAGTGCGTCAGAAAACATCCTATTGATTCATGTTCCAACACTTGTAATTGTGGACACCATGACACCACTAAGCCTTTTTCAATTGTTAATTCCTCTAAAAAGTTGTTGGGAAGTTTGGATTCTTCAGTAGACCTAACAACCCACAAGAAGTTGTTGTTGCTATTCTTCAAACCCCATGCCAATTCTTCCATTTGATCACCTTCTAATTTGGCTAAACTTCCAAATGATACATACACCACTGAGCTAATTGGTTGATGGTTTAACCAATTTAGGCATTCATTTGTCATTGGTTTGAAGATACTAAGGCCATACTCTTTGTCATCATGTAGTTTTTTGTCTAAATAGATTGACGGTATTGTTGGTCCAATTGTCTTGATTGGATAAATCTTGGACATCCAATCAATAACCTACATGTCAAACAATAAAAACAGAATAAGATTTCATGTAACTATATGAATATTTTGTACAATAACTTAGGTGACTAGAAAATGAAGTCTGAGGTATTATGTGATTTAATTCCTTCAATGTTTTCTCTACTGTCAGTGGTCGAGTCAGGATTTTCACTAACAAGATTCAAAATATGAAGAAGTAAACATATGAAGAAGTAGAGAAGATTCAACATCTACTATATATACATAAAAAAAAAAATACTCCAAAGAATATGTTACCTCTTTCTCCAACTCATAGAAGCTATTGATTAGGACCCAATCCACTTTGTCAAGATTTGAGAATTGATTGACCAACATTTCAAGTATTCTTTCTGCTTCAGGATTAATAACAAAAGTAGGTACATCTGATGTCTCAATTGTACTTGAAAATCCAGGAATTAATATTTCTTCATCATTTTGAGTAGGTGGAAGTTTTATTACCCCTTTATGTACATGGTAATAAATATTATCCACTGCACAATTTTGTGTGAAAAATGCAGCACTAATTAATCCAAAATTCTTTGCTACTTCAACAGCCCAAGGGAGGAATGGATCATATACTATGCAATTTACAGGGCAACCACTATTTGCCAATTTTTGAATAAGTTGAGAAAGAGTATCCGAGCCAACTTCTTTGAATCGTGTAACATAGGCCACGAAAGATCCTGCTTGATCGCGACCACCATCATCATAGCCATCAGATATGGCCTCGATTGACATAGAAGTTGGCAATTCTTTCATGTTTTTCAAAAAGGATTTTGTGAGTGCTATAGTAATTTTAACACGTTTGGATTGTAAACGTTTGGAGAATTGGAGCATTGGGTTGATATGACTTTGGACTGGATATGACAAAATCAAACAGTGAGCCTGGTGAGTAATCATCTCTTGCTACTTCTCAATTAATGGCTGAAGGAAAAATCAATCAAGAAGAAAGATGACTTTATGATATAACAACTTAAGCTAAATAATTATCTGAAAAATCAATCAAGAAGAAAGATGACTTAAGTACAATGTAGAAATCATTTTCTTTCTTCTTAAAATCTTATGCAACTTCTCAATTGAAGGAATGACAATTTATGGATGGGAAAATCTTGTGGTTCTTATAGTTAGTCGATAGAGTTGAAGTGTACAATTTGGATCAATATGCCTTACAAAGTGTGTTGGCTTCTTCCTATTGTATATTCCAACTTTTTATTGCCAACATGTGCAATGACATAAGGCAATTATTGGGTACAATGTACTAGTGACATCTAAATTTACCAATACTAGTTATAGGAGCTCGTGACAGCATGAACTCAATATATGTTATTTTTTTGTCTTAATTTATGTCATGCAGAGAAATTTGAGGGTAATTTCTTTAGATAGTCACTCTTGTTTGAGAATTTGTCCTATAATATCACTTTTGTTTTTTTAAGGATTAGAATAGCACCTAACTATTTCTATTTTCCTCAAAATATACTCCTCTCCTAATGAAATGTCATGAAATAACTTTATTTTAACGATAAAAGTAAAATCAACTAATAAATAAAAGTTGAGAGATATTTTTATCCTTTTCCCAATATTAAATGGAAAAATAGGTCAATGTCTCAACTTAAAAGTCTATATCTTTAATGGGGAAATACAGGTCACTATGTAAATATTGTTTTTTTTGTGTGTCCAAGTACAACAGAGAAAAAGTACATAAAATAAGCAGCAAGATACTTCCAAAAACACATTTAAACTATTTATTTTTTGAGTTTCATAGCTAAATTGTTGTGAGTATGAGAAATACAGTTTAAAATTTACTTAGTAGTTTGACAAACACAATATAGATATGAGACTAATTAAACAAAAGATAATTTAAGTATATTTTTAACTCAAGTTTTAAAGAACAAGAACTAAAAAATATCAAAAATACTCTTTGCCATACAAGTAGGCATGTTGACGAAAACATGCATACTTGTAAACTCTTCTATAAAAGTAGTAACAATATATTGTCGATACCAACTTTTATTGCTCAGAACTTAGTGATTGATTCCTTTTTTTCAGTTATGGGTAGGACAGAGGTTGACAATGACTTTACTCTAAGTGAAAAAGTCATCGTTCATCAGACAATACTGTTGGGTTATGGCTCATGTTCCAGCCATAGGCCCATGACCTAATTCTATTTTTTTTTCTTTTTTTTCTATCCTATTTGGAAAAGATGGAATTTTAATCTTATTTGAAAAATGATTGGAATTTTGGTCCTATTTGAAGTTGGTTTTGATTTTAGAAGAAAAACACCAATTCGTTATCTAGAAATTATCATTTGAGAGAATTATTCAATTGTTCATTACTATTTGCACAAAAGAGAGATTTTTGAGAGAATTTTCAACAAGAAAGAAGAGAGAAGAAAATGATTATTTTTCTGTAGTCTTTTTCTCCGACTCGCAACCTTTAAATCATATTTCCTAATTTGTTAATCGTTTGATCAGACTAAAACTTTTAATGAGTGTTCCTAACATCTTGGTCTTTGGTTTGGAATGGTGTCTATCAGATTCAGTGGTCAACATAGTCCAATTTCAAGTCCCGAACAACAAACGAGTTTAGGTGTATTCTTTCTATTTACTTTTGTTGGTGTATCTATTGCTTTTGTGTTTCACAATTGTTGTGTAGCCATTTAGGAGAATATTTTTAACCCTCCTATTGAATAGTGAAACAATTTGGATCTCGACGATTCCTTGATTATTATCTTCGATTTGAAGGATTTTTCCACATAAAATTTGGTGTTTTTGACTCCCAGTTCTTTAGTTATTGTTTGTGTATAACTCATGCTCAGATTTATAGTTCTTTCAGTTTCTCATATAATTGTTCATCTCAGTCCTTACCCTGCATATCAATATATTCCATATATTGACTCTACTTTGCGATACATTGTTTTATGATGTAGATTTTAGCATCTTGATTCAGATTTGCGAGAAGACGTTCCACTAAGTTCCTCTACTTTTAGCATTGTAGGGAGTCCTCATTGCATTCAGAGGACTTCCGTTATGAGTGACTATATTTTTTTCACTTCAGTTGTGTTAGTTTTTCAAGCAGTCTGAGGTCTTGTCCCGACAAATCGTTTTATTCAGTTTAGAGGCTTTTAGATATTTGTATTCAATTGTAATAGACTTATTCTTGAACTTTATTTCAATTATGCTTTCAATTTATAGCTTCTGCTTCAGTTTTCATATGCTATGCTTAGATATGATATGTCAAGGATTAGCTTGGGATCACTTGTGGTTTCATGTACCATGTCTCGGCTGTGATGTAGACTCGGATCGTGATAATATATAATGCCAAAGCCTGATCCTCTCATGGAACCATATCGCATACCTGATTCTCTTACGGAACCCAAATCAAATTTCAGTGTCATACCAGGCATGGTATCCGAGTCAATCGTAAAGGCCTTATATTATGGACTCTTTTATGTCTTGACTACAAGTATACATGAGTCAAATCTCAACAAAATACCCCATCCTTTCCCGGATAGCCCTAGACCTCACCTAGCCCAGATTTCATCTAAGACTGGTCTAGCCAAGAATTTCAAATTACTATCCAAAAAACTTTTCTGGCCCAATTTCTTTCCCTATGGACCTATTCATAACGATTGGGTTAGATTGTTGAGCATGTATAATGTATTATAACCTCGAATAAGTTAGTAAGTTAATGTGATATTTGAATTAGTGAAGCAATTTTGTATAATTAAAATAATAATCATGGAATATAAGTCAAACTTTGCTACTTTAATTTAAAAAAAAAAGAAATTGCAAAATGCAAATCAACTTATTAATTATTTTTTATGACTTATTTAATTTCATACTTAAGAAATAGTCACCAACTTGGAAACAAATTCTTCAATATTTTTATCTGAACTTCCTCCTTCATCCATAGCATTTCTAGCCATTTCCTTCCATTTATTTGCATTTTCCCTAATTAATTTTCCTTTCTCTTCTTCCATTACTAATTTTATGTATTCTTCAATAATTTCTCTTCTAACTATCCCCTTTTCATCTTGTTTGGCTCTAACACCTATTTCCCAAACATCCTTCACAAGTTTTGCATTTGTTGGTTGATCTGTCCATTGTGGTATTGTCACCATTGGCACTCCCAAACTAATTGCTTCCAAAGTCGAATTCCACCCACAATGTGTCAGAAAACACCCTATTGATTCATGTTCCAACACTTGTAATTGTGGACACCATGACACCACTAGTCCTTTTTCAATTGTTAATTCCTCTAAAAAGTTCTTGGGAAGTTTGGATTCTTCAGTGGACCTAACAACCCACAAGAAGTTCTTATTGCTATTCCTCAAACCCCATGCCAATTCTTCCATTTGCTCAGCTTCTACTATGGCTAAACTTCCAAATGATACATACAACACTGAGCTAATTGGTTGAAGATTTAACCAATGTAGGCATTCATTAGTCATTGATTTGAAGATACTAAGACCATACTCTTTGTCATCATGTAGTCTCTTGTCTAAGTACATTGATGGTATTGTTGGTCCAATTGTCTTTATTGGATATATGTTGGACATCCAATCAATTACCTACATGACAAACAATACAAGCAAAATAAGATATATCTTAAATCTCTTGATATTTTTTAATACTCCTTTCTAACATGTATTCAAAGTTTCTTTGAGAACATTTATTAAAAAAAGAATTAACCTAAATAGTCGTTAGACACCCTTTTAAGAAAAACATTCAATATATAGTCATAATCATAAATTCTTGCTACCACGAATACTATAACAACCTTAATGAACATATGATTTTGTCAGTTCATTTTTTATATAAATGGTTGAAAAAACCGAAGAAGCACCAAAACGAAAAAAAAAATTGTTACCTCTTTCTCCAACTCATAGAAGCTGTTGATTAGAATCCAATCAACTTTATCAAGATTTGAGAATTGATTGACCAACACTTGAAGTATTCTTTCTCCTTCAGGATTAATAACAAAAGTAGGTACATCTGATGCCTCAATTGGACATCAAAATCCAGGAATTAATATTTTTTCAGCATTTTGAGTAGGTGGAAGTTTTATTACCCCTTTATGTACATGGTAATAAATATTATCCACAGTACAATTTTGTGTGAAAAATGCAGCACTAATTAATCCAAATTTTTTTGCCACTTCAACAACCCAAGGGAGAAATGGATCATATACTATGCAATTTACCGGACATCCACTATTTTCCAATTTTTTTATTAGCTGAGACAGAGTATCTGAGCCAACTTCTTTGAATCGCGTTAGGTAGGCTTCGTAAGTTTTTGCTTGGTCGATGCCACCATCATCGTAGCCATCAGATATGGCCTCGATTGACACAGAAGTTGATAATTCATTCATGTTTTTCAAGAAGGATTTTGTAGCTGCTATAGTGATTTCAACACGTTTGGATTGTAAACGTTTGGAGAATTGGAGCATTGGGTTAATATGACCTTGAAATGGATAGGGTAAAATCAAGCAATGAGCTTTGTGACTAGTACTCATCTTTTGCAATTTCTCAATTGGTCACTCAAGTATTATCTGAAAAAGTTATTTTATTCGTTGAAGGATGGGAAAATCCTATGGCGAAATGTGGTTTTTATACTATAAATTATAATTTTTTATATTAATTTCTAGAAAAAAAAATATATAATAGAAATTAATCAAAATATATGTAATTTGACTCTCTCGAGAAACAATTATGATAAGTAATTCAAAATGTGTCTATTAGTACTTATGAATATGGTCCATATTGCCAAATTATTTTTGAAATACAAACAATTTATTGTGTGGTGTTAAATTCTCGAAAAATTGTTCCAGCTCGAGACATATTTTGGATGCATTGAAAAATATTTTATAGTAAATAAGATGATTTTTTTTTATAATTATCTTAAAAGTATTTGTATTTCATTTAGAGAAATACTATGAGATATAGTAAGGGGTGGGGGCGACTCTACAAATCTAAAAGAAAATAGTAACCTTAGATCAGGTGATTTTTTTAAAGCAATAATAGGTTTGTAGATATTATTATAAAAAATAGTGTTGAGAAAAAAATATAAACTTTATTTTTTTGGTTGGGGGGAATGACATTATCAAGTGAAACGTCGCTTGTAGAAGAATTTGTTTTTCCTACATTGGAAGCTTATTTTATTCATTTTTAATGACCTAGTTTTTTTAGAGAATTATTTTTAAAAATATTTGACCAGATGAACATGATAAAATTGAAAAATATTTTTTACAAATAATTGCCCCAATCGAATCATACCGTATTCAGGGGAAAAACTAGAGTTCTGTAAAGGGGTTCATTCAAACTCTCTTAATTTGGAAAATTACATTACATATATAAGGTCAGAATTATTTTTTATATGTTTATATTGTAAATATTGATGCTCCTTGATTACTTTGTATGTTTACCTATTTGTATTTTGAACTCTCTAAGTGAAAATCTGGATCTAGCCCTTGATCGAATCAAACTGATTTTATGTTTCTTGTAATAAAATCTTAAGTTTCTATATAAATATATAATTGTAGCCCTTGATCTAGACATTTAAGGTCTACATTTGACTTGGCGCATCTATTAAAAAATATTTATTGATATAGTGAGTATCATTTTATCCTTATTAATTGATATGATTCAAAATATTACACTCATTACATTTTTTAAAAATATGAACACGGTGTTAATAAATTGAGGGTATAATAGGAAAAAATAAATTGTCATTTCTTGATTTGTCAAAAATGACAAGTAAAAAGGAAAATCAAATTAGAAAATATTTGACAAATAAATAGGATCGAATGTAATAGTATTTACTTTTTATATAATATTTTAATATAACAATTGCTTATTTTTATTATGTTTTGGGTAAAACAAAATTTATTTTCGTTAGACAACTAGTTTAAAAATACCCTTCAATTAACTTAATAATTCATAAATACTTTTCTTACTAATGATTGCTCCAAAACAAGAGAAATGAGCCAATTTTGATCATGAATTATTTGAAAGGGGACGATTTTATATTGAACAAATGATATACTATTTCTGTCATTTCAATTTATTTATTTTTTATTTTGACTTGACACAAAATTTAAGATTTTCTTTTTTAATCTTGTGATTTCAGATTAATTAAAGATACATAGAATGTATCAAAATGTCAGTTAATCTTGTGGTTTTAAACACGTCACATGGAAAGTTAGAATTAAAAATTTTCCAAGAAAGGAAAGAAATATTCTTTTTGAGACGTATTTAAAAAATAAATAAGAAAAACAAATTGAAACAAAGGAAGTACTATTTTTATATCAATATACTAAATATTTTATTTGTTTATTAACTAATATACCATGAATACTGTGATTACTTGTATCTTTAATAGTATTCACAAAATATCAGTGGTATTGTTGAATCATGATTTACTGCAATTATAATCCCAAAAAATAGTGAGAATAGCTAAATATTTTTTTATTTTGTTCTTAATCTATATAAGAACAATATTATATTATTGAAACTTGGATACCAAGAATATAATATAGGTAGGTCAATTTTGAAATATTTTATATATTTTTTTATTGGAGTGGAGTGACTATAAGAGAATCAAATTACTGGAGTTGAAGGATGGATATGATGGATTGGCATTGGATTAGCTTTTGGAAAAACTATCTAATTACGTAAATACTTTCTCTCTCTACCTTAAAATATTTAAATATCGTTTCACTAAGAATAATTTCATATCAAATTTTAAGTCGGATACATCTAGATAAATATATTTTTCTACTAAATACACTCTAAACACACAGATAAATAGGGGGAGAGACTAGCGAGAGTGTCAGTGTATCTCAACTACATGCAAATTACACTAGATACACGTAGCTGGAATATATACCAGATACATTCTGAAATACAAATACATAGGGAGCAAGGTGAGTGAGAGAGAGGAAGGCAAGTGATAGAGGGAGAGAGTGATAGAGGCAAGCAAGAGAGGAGGGAGGTAAGTGAGATATATAGGAGAGCAATGAGTGAGAGAGTCGGTGTATCCCATACACATGAATTCACTTATATACAATATATCTAAAATAAATATGAAAATAAAAATAAAAATACAGATCCATCTGTGGGATTCTACTGAAAATGTTGTCGTTATAAATATGAAAAACATATCATCTAGCCATACAATAATTTATTCTTTTGTTTACTTCTAAAAATATTGATATCACTTCCGAAAAATTGAGGAAAAATTAATTAGCTCCACGCAATGAAGAGCTGGATCCAACACATATATATCTATAGTTTATCTTGCATTAAGTAGCTATAGTGCCTAATTCTGATATCTAATCCAGAATCATTTGCTCATCTTAATTAATTTATAAATTTGAAATTTAAATTAACAAAGTTTTAGCTAATTATATTCAAAAGTTCATTAAAAGTAAGATAACAAATAAGTAGGGAGTGACTCATTGACCATGACAACTAGTCACTTTCCACATAAGAAGATTCAAGTCAAACTTTGCTACTTTGATGAGAAAAATAAATTGCAAAAGACAAACCAACTTCTTAATTATTTTTATGGCTCTTAATTAACTTCTTAATTACTTAGGATTTAGTAACCAACTTGGAAACAAATTCTTCAATATTTTTATCTGAACTTCCTCCTTCATCCACATCATTTCTAGCCATTTCCTTCCATTTCTTTGCATTTTCCCTAATTAATTTTCCTTTCTCTTCTTCCATCACTAATTTAATGCATTCTTCAATAACTTCTCTTCTAACTATCCCTTTTTCATTTTGTTTGGCTCTAACACCTATTTCCCAAACATCTTTCACAAGCTTTGCATTTGTTGGTTGATCTGCCCATTGTGGCATTGTCACCATTGGCACTCCCAAACTAATTGCTTCCAAAATCGAGTTCCTGCCACAGTGCGTCAGAAAACATCCCGTTGATTCATGTTCCAACACTTGTAATTGTGGACACCATGGCACCACTAAGCCTTTATTATTGCCACTTGTCAACTTTAGTTCCTCTAAAAAGTTGTTGGGAAGTTTGGATTCTTCAGTGGACCTAACTACCCACAAGAAGTTGTTGTTGCTATTCTTCAAACCCCATGCCAATTCTTCCATTTGCTCAGCTTCTAAGTTGGTTATACTTCCAAATGATGCATACACCACTGAGTTAATTGGTTGATGATTTAACCAATGTAGGCATTCATTTGTCATTGGCTTGAAGACACTAATGCCATACTCTTTGTCATCATGTAGCCTCTTGTCTAAGTACATTGATGGTATTGTTGGTCCAATTGTCTTTATTGGATATATCTTGGACATCCAATCAATTACCTACAAGCAAAATAAGATATATCTTGAATCTCTTGAAATTTTTTTTTAATACTTCCTTGTAACATGTATTAAAAGTTTCTTTGAGAACATTTATTAAAAAAAGAATTAACCTAAATAGTCGTCAGACATCCCTTTAAGAAAGACATTCAATATATAGTCATAATCATAAGATTTAGTGAATTAGTCGAAATGGAACAGACAAAGAAAAACATAGGTTAGATATGTTGTACACTTAATTCCAACCAAAATGAGACCAAAAAAAATTCTTGCTACTACGAAAACTATAACAACCTTAATGAACATATGATTTTGTAAGTTCATTTTTATATAACTTCGATTAAACATCTATATAAATGGTTAAAAAGACAGAAGAAACACCAAAACGACAAAAATATGTTACCTGTTTCTCCAACTCATAGAAGCTGTTGATTAGGACCCAATCCACTTTGTCAAGATTTGAAAATTGATTTACCATCACTTGAAGTATTCTTTCTGCTTCAGGACTAATAACAAAAGTAGGTACATCTGAACTCTCAATTGTACATGATAATCCAGGAATTAATATTTCTTCATCATTTTTAGTAGGTGTAAGTTTTATTACCCCTTTATGTACATGGTAATAAATATTATCCACTGCACAATTTTGTGTGAAAAATGCAGCACTAATTAATCCAAAATTCTTTGCCACTTCAACAGCCCAAGGAAGGAATGGATCATATACTATGCAATTTACAGGACATCCACTATTTGCTAATTTTTGAATAAGCTGAGACAGAGTATCCGAACCAACTTCTTTGAATCGCGTTATGTAGGCAACGAACGTTCCTGCTTGGTGTAAACCACCATCATCGTAGCCATCAGATATGGCCTCGATTGATATTGAAGTTGGCAATTCTTTCATGTTTTTCAAAAAGGATTTTGTGAGTGCTATAGTGATTTTAACACGTTTGGATTGTAAACGTTTGGAGAATTGGAGCATTGGGTTGATATGACCTTGGCCTTGAAATGGCAAGATCAAGCAATGAGCTTTGTGACTAGTACTCATCTTTTGCAATTTCTCAATTGGTCACTCAAGTATTTTCTCTTTATTCATTGAAGGATGGGAAAATCATGTAGTGAAATGTGGTTTTTATATTATAAGTTATAATTTTTTTTATATTAATTTCATGAAAAAAAATATATAGTAGAAATTAATCAAAATTTATGTAATTTGACTCTCTCGAGAAACAATTATGATAAGTAATTCAAAATGTGTCTATTAGTACATATGAATATGGTCCATGTTGCCAAACTATTTTTGTAGTAGGGGTCATTTTCTTTTTCTTTGAAATACAATCAATCTATTGTGTGGTGTGAAATTATCGAAAAATTGTTCCAGCTCGAGACATATTTTGGATGCCTTGGAAAATATTTTATAGTAAATAAGTGGATTTTTTAAAAAATAATAATAATTTGTGTTTGATATGTAAGTAAAAATAATTATCTTAAAAAGTATTTGTATTTCATTTAGAGAAATACTATGAGATATAGTAAGGGGTAGGGACGACTCTACAAATCTAAAAGAAAATAGTAGCCTTAGACCAGGGGACTTTTTTAAAGCAATAATAGGTTTATAGATATTATTATAAAATAATATTGAGTTTATTTGCAAAAAGAATATATAAACTTTGTTATATAAGAGGAAAAATTTATTAAACTTTTAACAAATCTTGAGAAGTAGGGGTATGAGATGTGGGGATGGGGTGTTTTTTTTTTTTTTGCGGGGGAGGGGGGATAACATTATCGATGTGGACCGTCACTTGTAGAAAAAATTGTTTTTCCTACTTTCATTAGGAAGCTTATTTTATTCATTTTTAATGAACTTGTTTTTTTAGAGAATTATTTTTAAAAATATTGGGATAAGAGTCTGAAATAGGGGTGCGCATCGGTCGGTTCGGTTCGGTTTTAGGTGTTATTGGTTCGGTTTATCGGTTTTCGGTTTGTAAATAATTCAAACCGATAACCAAACCAATAACATATTTCTTATCGGTTTTTGGTTAATCGGTTTATGGTACTTAACGGTTCGGTTTTCGGTTTAACCAATAAGAAAATACCATATGATTTTTCCAACATTTGACATGAAAGTAATAATCATAAAAGTAACAATCATTTTTCTTGCAAGTTTAGACACTAGACACATTCAAAGGAAAAAGTGTGAAAGTAACAATCGTTTAACCATTAACAAAAAGTGTGAAAGTAACAATCGTTTAATCATTAACAATAAGACTAGTAAATTTAGTATAGTCTTATTGGGTTATCGGTTTAACCATTAACAAAAATTATAAAATCGGAAACCGAACCAATAACCCAATAAAAATTTTTGCAAAACCGTTTAAAAACCGTTAGCCCAATAACCCAATATCAATAAACCAATAGTGTTTTTTTCGGTTCGGTTTATTGGTTAAATCGGTTTTTGCACACCCCTAGTCTGAAAAATACCTCAACTTTGGTCGGATTTGCTGTTGCGATACTAAATTTTCATGAGGACCTATTACTTCCCTAGACTATTTAATACCGTATTTTAAACATATATATTTGCCCACGTGGACATAGAAAATAATGCAAAATTATAAATAGTAATGTGTCCACGTGGGCACATATATACCCTTAAAATATACTATTAAATAGTTCAGGGGGTAAAAAAATACGGTATTAAATAGTCTAGGGAGATAATAGGTCCTCATGAAAGTTTAGTATTGTAACCGTAAATACGACCAAAGTTAGGGTATTTTTCAGACCCTTATCCCAAAAATATTTGACCAGATGAACATGATAAAATTGAAAAATATTTTTTACAAATAATTACCCCAATCGAATCATACCGTATTCAGGGGCAAAAATAGAGTTCCGTAAAGGGGTTCATTCAAACTCTCTTAATTTTAAAAATTACATTACATATATAAGGTCAAAATTATTTTCTATGTTTATATTGTAAATATTGATGCTCCTTGATTACTTTGTATGTTTACCTATTTATATTTTGAACTCACTAAGTGAAAATCTGGATCTGGCCATTGATCGTATCAAATTGATTTTATGTTTCTTATAATAAAATTGTATGTTTCTATATAAATATAAAATTGTATCGAATAACTAGATAAATTTATGTTTTTATAAAAATAAATCTAAAAAAGTATCATATCATACGAATAAATTTATGTGTCAAAAATTTATTTTATACATATATTAAGTTTAAAAATAATAAAATATCAGAAAAATTTCTTATGTTGGGAGTGATGAAAACGATTATGAGTGTTATACTACTTTTGAATACATTTCTATTCTTTATCTTTATTCATGTTTTCTTTTAAATTTTGATTATGTTTAGAATATTTTGTCAAAATCCTACAGAAATATACTTGGTAGCATGTTCTAAATTTTATTTGTGATTCTTACAAGACATTTTAACAAACAAAAGAGACAACCAAAAGCTAATTGAAATTTGAAATTTAAATTAACAAAGTTTTAACTAATTATATTCAAAAGTTCTTTAAAAGTGAGATGACAAATAAAGCATAACAAATAAGTTGGGAGTAACAAACTTGTCACTTTCCACAAAAGACGATTCAAGTCAAACTTTGCTACTTTGATGAGAAAAAGAAATTACAAAATACAAATCAACTGCTTAATTATTTTTTATGGTTCTTAATTACTTAGGATATAGTAACCAACTTGGAAACAAATTCTTCAATATTTTTATCTGAACTTCCTTCTTCATCCACAACATTTCTAGCCAATTCTTTCCATTTCTTTGCATTTTCCCTAATTAATTTTCCTTTCTCTTCTTCCATCACTAATTTTATACATTCTTCTATAGCTTCTTTTCTAACTATTCCCTTTTCATCTTGTTTGGCTCTAACACCTATTTCCCAAACATCCTTCACAAATTTTGCATTTGTTGGTTGATCTGTCCATTGTGGCATTGCCACCATTGGCACTCCCAAACTAATTGCTTCTAGAGTCGAATTCCACCCACAGTGTGTCAGAAAACACCCTATTGATTCATGTTCCAACACTTGTAATTGTGGACACCATGACACCACTAGTCCTTTTTCAATTGTTAATTCCTCTATAAAGTTCTTGGGAAGTTTGGATTCTTCAGTGGACTTAACAACCCACAAGAAGTTGTTGTTGCTATTCTTCAAACCCCATGCCAATTCTTCCATTTGCTCAGCTTCTAATTTGGCTAAACTTCCAAATGATACATACACCACTGAGTTAATTGGTTGATGATTTAACCAATTTAGGCATTCATTTGTCATTGGCTTGAAGATACTAAGACCATACTCTTTGTCATCATGTAGTCTCTTGTCTAAGTACATTGATGGTATTGTTGGTCCAATTGTCTTGATTGGATATATCTTGGACATCCAATCAATTACCTATATGACAAACAATAAAAACAAAATAAGATGTATCTTGAATCTCTTGATTATTTTTTTTTAAAGAGATGATTTTGTCAGTTCATTTTTTATAACAACCTTAATGAACAAATGATTTTGTCAGTTCATTTTTTGTATAACTTCGATTAAACATCTATATAAATATGTTACCTCTTTCTCCAACTCATAGAAGCTGTTGATTAGAACCCAATCAACTTTGTCAAGATTTGAGAATTGATTTACCATCATTTCAATTATTCTTTCTGCTTCAGGACTAAAAACAAAAGAAGGTACATCTGATGCCTCAATTGGACATGAAAATCCAGGAATTATGATTTCTTTATCATTTCGAGTAGGTGGAAATTTTATTACCACTTTATGTACATGATAATAAATGTTATCCACTGCACAATTTTGTGTGAAAAATGCAGCACTAACTAATTCAAAATTCTTTGCTACTTCAACAGCCCAAGGAAGGAATGGATCATATACTATGCAGTTTACAGGGCATCCACAATTTTCTAACTTTTGAATAAGCTGAGACAGAGTATCCGAACCAACTTCTTTGAATCTTGTAACATAGGCCACAAAAGATCCTGCTTGATCGCGACCACCATCATCATAGCCATCGGATATGGCCTCGATTGACACTGAAGTTGGCAATTCTTTCATGTTTTTCAAAAAGAATTTTGTGAGTGCTATAGTGATTTTAACACGTTTGGATTGTAAACGTTTGGCGAATTGAAGCATTGGGTTGATATGACCTTGAAATGGATATGGCAACATCAAGCAATGAGCTTTGTGTGTAGTCATTTCTTTTGAAACTTCACAATTGATGGCTGCAAAAATGTAATCATAGGTTAAAAATACGAACTATATCATAAGTATCACATTTGAAAATTGAAATAAAAAGGAAAAATTGCCTCTCTAAGATAATAACAATTAGTCAAGTGACTATCTGAAACATCAAATCTAGTCTAAAGTCGTACCTGACTAATAGAATTGTTTCAATAGTTTGTAGAAAATCGTTTTCGTTCTTCTTAAGTACTTCACCAGAGGAAGAAGAGGAGAGTTTTTGAGGATGGGAAAATCGTGTAGTGAAAATGCTCTTCTTATAGTTAGTGATCGAGTTTACATACTTGTTTGGTTTGAGGGATAAGGAATAACTAATTTCGAAATTAATTTTACAATGAGTTATTCTATGTTTGGTTAGGAAAACTAATTTCGAAATTATTAATTTCATAATAACTCGTTTCTAACCAAACGAGATTGCCAACATGTGCAGTGACATAAGCAGGTCATATCATCCAAAATGATGTCTAAAATAACGATTATTATATCATTAATTGGTCATCTATGCATGTGTAGTCTATTTATTTGGAAGATGCCTTTTGTAATCCTTTTTGTAGACATTTAATTTTAATTACTGAATTTAAATCATAAAATATTTGGATTGCATCTTAAATTCAAACGATCGTATTATTCCCAATAAAAATTACGGACTGATATAACTGAATTTATGTAAAAGGGTTAAAAATGCTCTTAAACTATGTGAAATTAAATAAAAATATTTTTAGTTAATAATTTGATCTAAAATGCTCTTATTGTCAATAGTTTAATCCAAAAATATTCTTATTATTACTTAATTAACGAATTACTTATCATCCGTCTACCTCCCTCTCTCTCGCTTCCCCCAACATATATCAAATAATATTGGAAAAAGGGTCTGAAAAATACTCTAACTTTGGCCGAAATTATTGTTAAGATACCAAACTTTATGGAGGACCTTTTATCCCCTAAACTATTTAATAGTGTATTTTAAAGGTATATATGTGTCAATGTGGACACATTACTATTTATAATGATGCAATATTTATGTTGTCCACGTGGGCATATATATATACATTTAAAATACACTATTAAAAAGTGCATGGGGTAAAAGGTCTTTTCCAAAGTTCGGTATTGTTATAGCGTTTCAGTCAAAGTTCGGATATATTTCAAACTTTTTTCCCAATAATATTAGGGCCTAATTTAGATGATCTAATTAAGAATAATTTACTCATTTTAATTAATTCATAAATGAGGAGACGAGCAGCGAGGTGGTGTTGGTATCTAGCCGGAGAGGAGAGAGACAAAGGGAAGAGAAGAAGAGTCGGTGGTCAAAATATGTATTTGATTAGCATTACAATAAAAATAACTTTTAACCACAATAAATAGACACATTAATAAAGAATGCTAAAGTCTTTACCGGCGTTAGTTAAGTGTCATTAAATCCAGTGTCGCTAAAGGCTTTAGAGACATATACAACGATTGCTAATTGCCGTTAATTAATTGCCGCTAAAAATTATTTTTGATGTAGTGTAGTGCATTTGATAAAATATATATATGTATTTGACAAAATATACACATATATCTAATCAGTGACGGATCCAAAATTTTAATATCATGGTTCTCACATTTTGGGAGCCAACAATTCAGCTTCAGAACCAAAGCAAATATCACGACTTATTGCTTGTGGGTGCTCAACTGTTCAATATATTAGTTTTACATATTTTCTGTTTAATTTCACATGTTACGCGTCGAGATTAATGGATGCTTGAGCACTCAAAACCTACAACATAGATCCGACCCTATATCTAATATAAATGTTTATGTATCTTATAAAGTGTACATACATGTATTTGAGTTAATATTATACGTATCTATGAGAAAATAATTTCTGACACTAGAAAAAAATGAAAAGAAATTTAGAAAAGAATTGGAGAAGAAATTCAGGGAAGAAACAATGGAAAGATTTCTGATGCCAAATGAATGGGAAGAATATTGAGTTTATTGGATTTTTTTTGGGATCAAAGATATGGGAAATACTCTACCGTCGTTATAAGCATAATTATTTTGCTTCAAAATTGATGTGTTTCGGTTATACATAATTAGATGTATCTGCTTAGTATGTATCAGAGATACTCTGAATGCGTCAGATACATATATCTAGGAATCGAAATATGACACAAATTACAATATCAAAAGCTCACATGAAGACAAGTAATTAATCCTAAACTAGTGAAATTTGTGTTGTTTGCTATTTAAAAAATAGCAAGAGGACAATACTAGGAAGATTCAGGTCAAACTTTGGTACTTCAATAAGAAAAATAAATTACAAAATACAAATTTATTTCTTAATTACTTTTTTATGGCTCTTAATTAACTTCTTAATTACTTAGGATATACTAACCAACTTGGAGACAAATTCTTCAATATTTGTATCTGAACTTCCTCCTTCATCCACAACATTTCTAGCCAATTCTTTCTATTTCTTTGCATTTTCCCTAATTAATTTTCCTTTCTCTTCTTCCATCACTAGTTTTATATATTCATTCTTCTATAACTTCTCTTCTAACTATCCCTTTTCATCATGTTTGGCTCTAACATGCACCTATTTCCCAAACATCTTTCACAAGTTTTGCATTTGTTTGTTGAAATAAATTTAATGTATCTGAAATAAATTACATCTAATTTTGACTTTATGTATTCGAGATATATATATATATATATATATATATATATATATATATATATTTGGATGTGACAGATACATGTATTTGAGAATTGAAATATGACACGAATAGTAATTTCATAAATTCACGGGAAAAATACATGATTAAACCCTAATTATTGCAAAACACAAATCAACTTATTAATTATTTCTTATGACTCTTATTTAATTTCATACTTAGGATATAGTAACCAACTTGGAAACAAATTCTTCAATATTTTTATCTGAACTTCCTCCTTCATCCACAGCATTTCTAGCCATTTCCTTCCATTTCTTTGCATTTTCCCTAATCAATTTTCCTTTCTCTTCTTCCATCACTAATTTTATACATTCTTCAATAACTTCTCTTCTAACTATCCCTTTTTCATCTTGTTTGGCTCTAACACCTATTTCCCAAACATCCTTCACAAATTTTGCATTTGTTGGTTGATCTGTCCATTGTGGCATTGCCACCATTGGCACTCCCAAACTAATTGCTTCCAGAATCGAATTCCACCCACAGTGCGTCAGAAAACATCCTATTGATTCATGTTCCAACACTTGTAATTGTGGACACCATGGCACCACTAGTCCTTTTTCACTTGTTAATTCCTCTAAAAAGTCCTTGGGAAGTTTGGATTCTTCAGTAGACCTAACAACCCACAAGAAGTTGTTGTTGCTGTTCTTCAAACCCCATGCCAATTCTTCCATTTGCTCAGCTTCTACTATGGCAAAACTTCCAAATGATACATACAACACTGAGCTAATTGGTTGATGATTTAACCAATTTAGGCATTCATTTGTCATTGGCTTGAAGATACTAAGACCATACTCTTTGTCATCATGTGGTCTCTTGTCTAAGTACATTGATGGTATTGTTGGTCCAATTGTCTTTATTGGATAAAGTTTGGACATCCAATCAATTATCTACATGACAAACAATACAAAGCAAAATAAGATGTATCTTGAATTATTTTTTTCTAATACTCCTTTCTAACATGTATTAAAAGTTTCTTTTAGAACATCTATTTTAAAAAGAAATAGTCGTCACACACCCCCTTTAAGAAAGACATTCAATATATAGTCATAATCATAAAATCTTGCTACTAATGAAAACTATAACAACCTTATGAACATATGATTTTGTCAGTTCATTTTTTATGTAACTTCGATTAAACATCTATATAAAAGGTTAAAAAGACCGAAGAAGCACCAAAACGACCAAAAATATGTTACCTCTTTCTCCAACTCATAGAAGCTGTTGATTAGGACCCAATCCACTTTGTCAAGATTTGAAAATTGATTTACCATCACTTCAAGTATTTTTGGTCCTTCAATTTTCATAACATAATTAGGTACATCTGATGCCTCAATTGGACATGAAAATCCAGGAATTAATATTTTTTCATCATTTTGAGTAGGTGGAAGTTTTATTAGCCCTTTATGTACATGGTAATAAATATTATCCACTGCACAATTTTGTGTGAAAAATGCAGCACTTACTAATCCAAATTTTCTTGCCACTTCAACAACCCAAGAGAGAAATGGATCATATACTATGCAATTTACAGGGCATTCACTATTTGCTAATTTTGAATAAGCTGAGACAGGGTATCCGAACCAACTTCTTTGAATCGTGTAACATAGGCCACGAAAGATCCTGCTTGATCGCGACCACCATCATCATAGCCATCGGATATGGCCTCGATTGACACTGAAGTTGTTATTTCTTTCATGTTTTTCAACAAGTATTTTGTGGTTGCTATAGTGATTTTAACACGTTTGGATTGTAAACGTTTGGAGAATTGGAGCATTGGGTTGATATGACCTTGAAATGGATATGGCAACATCAAGCAATGAGCTTTCTGTGTAGTCATTTCTTTTGCAACTTCACAATTGATGAAGAAGAAAGTTTTGAGGATGGGAAAATAGTGTAGTGAAAATGCTGATCTTATAGTTTTAGTTCATTTGGTTCGTTTCATCGTTTGGTATTAGAGATAAGGGATAATTAATTGAGGAATACTTTTAGGATGAATTTATTATTGGGTTATACTGTTAATCATGTAGTTAAATTGTAGTATTAAATTTTAATCTCTTGTAAAGACGGTTTATTTCATTTTTCTATACATAATAAAGTTTTTATTCGAATAGATCATTGTGTTAATATGTGTGTCCTTTATTTATATAGGAGATGATTTTTTGTGTATAGAGTTATTTAAACTCATGCACGAGAGATTAAAATTATCGGTTGTTATAAATTATAAATTAATGTTCACAATTAAAGAAGAAGTGGGATAAACATCTTGATGATTGTAGCACAAGATTAAATAATTTGATCATAATTATGGGGTGGACATATTCCAACTTCTTGTGCTAGTATATAATATATGTATTGAACAGGCCAAGTAGAGATGTTCGTTTGTGCTCTAGATATTTATAAACCACTTCTCTAGTTCAATACATGTACTTATACTCTTAATCTAGATATAATTATTATAATCTTTGTAGTTTGATTTATAATTTTACTCTATTAAAAGGTGAGTATTTCTAATAGATTGGAGAATGACAAATCACATTAGTGAAATACAATTAGTTGGTAGAATCATATCTCAGATTTGAAATAGAAGGCACCCCTTTATGATTACTTATAAGTTTTCACGTGAAAACCATGCAGGTGGATTTTATATCCATCATGTGAAATACGCTAAGTATATAATAAAGAATTAATTAGTTAATCAATAAAGTAAATTTACAAAAGAATTGATTTGATTGATTGGTGGTTCGGTAATTCTAACATGAGGAATTAAATTAGATATTTGGTGGATTTCAAAATTAAATCGAGGAATGCAATTACAGATTTTTAGTGAAATAATTTATTATTTATTGTGATATGATGATGATAATTCATTTATTTGTGAATCAATATCATAATTGGAAGCCTCATATAATAAATTTGAGGTTCATACTATGCCTGATTAATTAATCAAAATTTGAAAAAGAAAGAAAAGATCTTGGAAGAAGTAATTTATACTGATCTTCTACAAGAAATGAATTATTTGCTCTTAAATAATTGATATTATTATTTTGAGAAGCAAAAACGCTTTTGTTGATTTCTTAAAGAAGTAAAATATTCTTAAGAGAAAAGAACAAAAATGTTGGCTTTTAATTGTTATTGATTGTCCTTTATGACAATTGATGGTTCCTAATGGCCAAGAGTGTTTTGAAAACTTTTCTTTTCCCCTCTTCAGTAGAGCAGTGAAAATAAAAGTCTGGTTAGAGTAAAGATATTTTTTTTTCTTAAAAATGAATTACTTGCCGCACAAAATTTCATTTGAACTTGAAAATGCGGACGTTTTCCCCTTCGGATCAACTCACACCATTAATAAGGTCTTAACAGACGCCCATAAAAAATTTCGACCAAAAATCCGTCGAAATCCCATATCACTAAAAATCCATGGATTCGTAGGCTCTAAATGAGATTTTCGAAAGCTTCAACATGTTAGTTGTGCTTTCTGATTTTCATGTTAATTTATGTTATCGGTCATCATGTAAGTTTTATGATTCATGACCATGCTTCCGCCGTGTATGAATTGTATGCTCTAATATTTATTCCATGTTTGATTGAGATAAATTGCAAGATAACCTATTTCACGATTGTAGTGTTACCTTTATCCCACATAAAAGTGATAGTGGCTTTCATGATGGATAAAATGAGGGAAGTGTGACTAAGTTGGTCTTGTCATATGAAGAGGAGATTCGTAGACGCACTAGTGAGGAAGTGTGAAAGATTGGTTATAGAGGATACGAGGAGAAGACAAAGATAGGACGAAGAAGTATTGAGGAGAGGTGAAAAGACATGATATGATACAAATTCAGGTTATCGAGGACATGACCTTAGATAAAAAGGTGTGGAGGACACGTATTATGGCAGAAGATTAGTAGATATAATAGTGTAGTGTCGTCTTGGTTAGGGTAGTTGGTGTTTGCCATTGTATTAGTTGTATTATTGTAAATCTTATTTTTATATTTAGCATTGTTTATTCTTCTTTTCAGTAATCTGTCCTAGTATGTTGTTTATTGTGTTTCAATTATTGCATTATTTTGTTGTTTCCTTTGCTTCCTTTTGGTAGACTTTGCAATGTTTCCTTGTTACTTTCTATATTTTCTTCACAATCTCCTTCTTGACTCGAGTCGAGGGTTTCTTAGAAACAACATCTCTACTTTCAGGAGGTAGTGGCAAAGTCTCCGTACATTCTACCCTCTCTAAACTCTACTTATGAGTTTTCACTGAGTATGTTATTATGCAATGACATAAGCAGGTCACATGCATTGAAGGGAACAACTATAATTAGGGGTGTACAAAACCGAACCGAAAACCGAACCAAACCGCAAACCAAGAAAAAAAACCCGACTAGTGGTTGGTTTGACTTGGTTTGGTATTGGGAAAAAAAATCCGACTATATTTGGGTTGGTTTGGTTTAAACTAAAAATATCAACCCGAGACTAAACCAACCCGACATTATATATATAATTTTAAAATTTTATTTTATACATAAAAATATTTACTTTGATATAATTTTTAAATATTTTTTATACTTTTTCATAGTTTTTATCTTTTAATATATTATTATTTCAAGTTTGAAACTTAGAATTCTGAATGGTTCAATAAAGATTATAGTCCACAGATGTTGGTAATTATAATAAAGCTTAAATCAAAATCAAATTAATATTAATGCAAAAAGAAAATCAATTTAACACTAAGAATGATAATAATATTGAATATTTGTTCTTTGGTTTTACATTGGTTTATTCAAATACATAATCTAATTTTAATTTCCTTTGATATTTAGTCATGTAACTAATACTTATTAAATTTAATTTAGCATGATTTAGTACTTTTAAATTATGATCATTTTCATTATGACTTGTTAATTTGAAATATTTGTTTTACACGATTTCATTATTATTATTTTTTTGTTGGATATTTTAGTATCATTACTCATATACTATTTGTGTTGTTTTCTTAAGAAACACCTTATATAGTTGTATTTTGGTAGGACTAAAGAAATATTTCAAGTACAAGTAAATTATATGTTTGTATGAATACTTTACCGGAAAAACCCAAAAATCCAAAACATACGAAAAAAAACCCGAAGTTGAAAAACCCAAGTTTTATTTTGGTTTGGTTTGATTTTTAGATTTGAAAATCCGACACAAATGGTTTGGTTTGATATTTGAAAAACCCGAACCAACCCGGCCATGTACAACCCTAGCTACAATAATCCAAAATGTTTCTAAAAAACGATTATTCTATCATTAAGAATTTTGCCATGTATGTGTGTAGAAGATGCCTTTTTGTAATGTCTTGTTGTAGAGTGTAGACATTCAAATTTTAATTACTGAATTTAAATTCGTAAAATAATTAAATTACGTTAAGTATATAATAAAGAATTAATTAGTTAATCAATAAAGTAAATTTACAAAAGAATTGATTTGATTGATTGGTGGTTCGGTAATTCTAACACGAGGAATTCAATTAGATATTTGGTGGATTTCAAAATTAAATCGAGGAATGCAATTACAGATTTTTAGTGAAATAATTTATTATTTATTGTGATATGATGATGATAATTCATTTATTTGTGAATCAATATCATAATTGGAAGCCTCATATGATAAATCTGAGGTTCATACTATGCATGATTAATTAATCAAGAATTTGAAAAAGAAAGAAAAGATCTTGGAAGAAGTAATTTATACTGATCTTCTACAAGAAATGAATTATTTGCTCTTAAATAATAATTGATATTATTATTTTGAGAAGCAAAAACGCTTTTGTTAATTTCTTAAAGAAGTAAAATATTCTTAACAGAAAAGAACAAAAATGTTGGCTTTTAATTGTTATTGATTGTCCTTTATGACAATTGATGGTTCCTAATGGCCCAGAGTGTTTTGTAAACTTTTCTTTTCCCCTCTTCAGTAGAGCAGTGAAAATAAAAGTCTGGTTAGAGCAAAGATATTTTTTTTTCTTAAAAATGAATTACTTGCCGCACAAAATTTCATTTGAACTTGAAAATGCGGACGTTTTCCCCTTCGGATCAACTCACACCATTAATAAGGTCTTAACAGACGCCCATAAAAAATTTCGACCAAAAATCCGTCGAAATCCCATATCACTAAAAATCCATGGATTCGTAGGCTCTAAATGAGATTTTCGAAAGCTTCAACATGTTAGTTGTGCTTTCTGATTTTCATGTTAATTTATGTTATCGGTCATCATGTAAGTTTTATGATTCATGACCATGCTTCCGCCGTGTATGAATTGTATGCTCTAATATTTATTCCATGTTTGATTGAGATAAATTGCAAGATAACCTATTTCACGATTGTAGTGTTACCTTTATCCCACATAAAAGTGATAGTGGCTTTCATGATGGATAAAATGAGGGAAGTGTGACTAAGTTGGTCTTGTCATATGAAGAGGAGATTCGTAGACGCACTAGTGAGGAAGTG